ATGCTAATTTATATTTGATTTCTAATTTCCGATTGACCTCACGTGTGCTGGACAGGGACGGTTCAAAAGGGCAGGATAAAACGCTCAGGTCTGTGTTAGAAAGTTAATTGCAACCCCCCCATAATTTTCTCAAATTTGCTGGGGTGACGGAGGTGGCGATGGAGTTTGTTTCTTTTCTGCACATTTGATTTTATTTTATTTTCTTCTCTCCCTCCTACACGCAGGCAGAAATAACTGTAGAGTTTTATAGGTTGCCATCTTTCATTGGGAGCACAAATGGAAATTAGGTGTCATACTTTCCTTTTATGGTGGCTTAATCTGCTAGGTAATTTCCCTTTTAAAAACAAATCAATGCATTGGGCGATTGTACACATTTTATAAACACCATTTGGAAATGTCCGGAGAAAATTTATCTAAAACGGTTAAATTGGCGATTCTCAAAATGCGCTCCGTGTACCAGGGTTGTTTGCAAAGGCTCGTGCGTTAGTCTCACACTCAAGGGCCACAACCTGCTTCTGACTTCAGCACCCACTTTCCCACTTGCGCTGAGATGTTTGAGAACCCATTTACCACCTTGGTCCTCACCTGCCCACATTCCCTTAAGTTCTGCTCTCCAGATCCCTCTTCACAAATAGACTTCCAGAGGCACCTTGACTAGATTACACTCTTTATTGCAAAGAAGCATGTCATCACCTAGGCAGAAATAATTTGCCTTTTGGAAGTTTAATAAATAGAAAATTAAGAAGAGTAGAGTAGAGTAGAGTAGAATAGAATAGAATAGAATAGAATAAGAATTAGAATAGATGCAATGGAGAATAGAATAGAATAGAATAGAATAGAATAGAATAGAATAGAATAAGAATTAGAATAGATGCAATGTAGAATAGAATAGAATAGAATAGAATAAGAATTAGAATAGATGCAATGGAGAATAGAATAGAATAAGAATAAGAATAAGAATTAGAATTAGAATAGATGCAATGGAGAATAGAATAGAATAGAATAGAATAGAACAGTGATGGCGAACCTTTTAGAGACTGAGTGCCCAAAATGCAACCCACAACCCACTTACGCATCGTCGAGTGCTGGGTGGGTGTGGCCCATTGGGTGGGCGTGGCTGCGGTGGTAACGGCAGACTGGGTGGGACTAAAAAGTTCAATCAATCAATTCCAACTTTGCAAGATCTTTTTTTTTTCCTGCGAGAAGTTGAAATTGACTGATTGAACCATTTTTTTTTATTTTTTTTTGCACAGGGCGGCGGAGGCCTAAAGCGAAAAGGTTTTATAAAACCCAGCTGAAGGCCTAGGACTGGGGCGACGGCGCGCGTGCCCACAGAGAGGGCTCTGAGTGCCGCCTCTGGCACCCGTGCCATAGGTTCGCCACCACTGAAATAGAATATTGAAGATTAGACTAACTGGAATAGAATAGAATAGGAATAGAATAGAATAGAATAGAATAGAATAGAATAGAATAGAATAGAATAGAATAGAATAGAAATAGAATAGAACAGAACCTTGGAAGTTCTTCTAGTCCAACCCCCTGCTTAAGCAGGAGACCGTATGCCATTCCAGGCAATTGGCTGTCCAGTCTCTTCTTAAAAACCTCCAGCGATGAAGCACCCACAACTTCTGAAGGCAAGCCGTTCCACTGGTTAATTGTCCTCACTGTTAGGAAGTTTCTCCTTAATTCCAGGTTGCTTCTCTCCTCGATTAGTTTCCATCCATTGTTTCTTGTCTTGCCTTCAGGTGCTTTGGAAAATAAGTTGACCCCCTCCTCTTCTTTGTGGTAGCCCCTCAAAAACTGGAACACTTCTATCATGTCACTCCTAGTCCTTCTTTTCTCTAGACTAGCCAAACCCAAATCCTGCAACCGTTCGTCATATGTTCTTCATATCTTCAGGCCTTTAGTCATCTTAGTTGCTCCTCTCTGCACTTTTTCCCCAAAGTCTTAAAAAAGTTTTTAAAAAGTCATAAGCTGTATGCTGCAGAATTTAAACTCTAGACTTCTTCCTCTTCCCTGTCCGAGTTGTTTATAGCTGCTGGCTGGCTTGGTGCCCTTGATGTGCTCAGATAAATGTCCTCTCTAAGCCTCAGAACTGCAGGTTGTTGCCTCACCAGATTTAGCACTTAACAGGTCCTAAAATTCTGAAGACTAACAACAGCGAGCAGGTCTTGAGTGCCGTTTCTAGCTATGACTATCTGTGTGCTGGGCCAGTGGGGCTTGTGGCCTTGCACAAGCGTTCCAGAAAGCAAAGTCTGAATAAGAAACCCAAGGTTGAATCATTTAAGCACGATCTGGAGCAACAGTTAACTCCTGAAGAAGAATAAAAGGACTCTGCTGATTGGAGTTTGTTTAATATCTTCCTGGTTTTGCACCGATCAAGCAGATGCCCTTGAAAAGCCTCAGGGTGGAATCTGGGGACCATAGTTGACCACCATCAAGGACCAGAGAGCAATTTCCTCTGATTCCAGAGGTGCTAATTCTGGATGTCTTTACTGGGAAAAGGGCATATGTCTGCAGCTCTTCCATCCTTCCTTGACATGTCATGTCATCTCACGTGCAGCCTATGAGTATAAATAGCAGATTCCTCTTCCCAAGAAGCTCCCTTTGGCAAAGACATGTGTTGAGCAGAGGCCATAGCTGAGTGTGGAATAATCTGCTTTGCATTCTGAGGAGCTGCAGTCTGTCTTTGATCTTTAAATATTATGAACAGTAGTTTCTGAAGGCTTCATTTCTTTAAGGTTGGGGAGATAAGGAGAACAACATAGGCAGGAGCAACCTGAGTGGGATGTAGGATGATGGGAGGAGTAGATTAGGGGAACTCTTTCCGATGGGACCTTCTGACTAGCAAGGGTAGGCAACCTTGGCTCTTTTAGGACTTGTGGACTTCAACACCTGGAATTCCTGACCCAGCCATGCTGATTCAGGAATTCTGGGAGCTGAAGTCCACAAGTCATAAAAGAGCCAAGGTTGCCTACCCCTAGGCGAGAGGGTGTGAACTTGCTAGCTGGATGTCCTTGCAAGACCTTCAGACTCCTACTGAAAGTGGAATGATTTCGAGCGGCCATGCCTGAAGAAAACGATCTTCTTCATGTTGTCATTCCAGATTGTCCTTTCCCTGCTTCCTTGGAGGAGTCTTTTCCCTGGAAAGCCATCTGCAATAGGCCACATAGCTTATGCCAGTTGTTCCCCAAAAGACAAGGTGTAGATTTGCTAATCCACAACTTCATATCCTAAGACAAGCTGGCTCCTCCTCCTGTTGGGTTATGAGCCTCGAGACAGATGCACAACTCTTGCCTTGGAGAACACACCGTACATCAGGGGTCTTCAAACTTGGCCCTTTGATGACTTGTGGACTTCAACTCCCAGAATTCCTCGGCCAGCCAGAGTTGAAGTCCACAAGTCATCAAAGGGCCAAGTTTGAAGACCCCTGCCCTACATCCATCTTCCCCATCTCAGCTGCTGCTTCTAAGGACTAGACCCACCACTACTATGTGCTGCTGTTCGCCATTACTTCTGATGAAACTTTCTGGTGATTGTAGCCTAATGTATTTGCAGGAACCCAGGTTTCAAGAAATCTGGGATAGCTAGTGGATACAGAGCCACTGAGAGGGATCACGGATTTCCTTCCTTCCCAAACTTCCTAGTGGGCTGTAGTTAAGACCCTACTGCCCCTATCTAGCTTGCTTCTTTCTTCAAAAGGATAACTGATGTGCTTTACAAGGTTTGCATGAAGGTGTGCATGAAGGACTGCAGACGTTTATATGGTGCTAAATAATAGAACAATTAACCAGTGGAACAACCTGCCTCCAGAAGTGGTGAATGCTCCAACACTGGAAGTTTTTAAGAAGAGATTGGACAGCCATTTGTCCGAAATGATATAGGGTTTCCTGCCTGAGCAGGGGGTTGGACTTGATGACCTCCATGGTCCCTTCCAACTTTTTATTATTATTATTATTATTATTATTATTATTATTATTATTATTATTATTAGTAGTAGTAGTAGTAGTAGTAGTAGTAGTAGTAATTTCTGTGAGGAAGATGGCTTGGGATTACTCTAAGAAACCTTTGTAAACAGGAGGATCTTTTGATTTGTGGATGTTTCCAGAAATGTCACCACCACACGTCAGATTTGCTAGATCTCAGCAGGGGAGGGCTTGGTTGGAGGGTGGGACGGAGAGGAAGTAGGACAATGCTAGCGTTGGAAGAAAAGCCCTCTTGAATCGGGAATGGAGGACTCTCTCCAGAAGTCACTGTGAAGTGTTGGTTGTTGAATTGCAGCTCAGGGATTCAAACGGCCACAGATATTCACAGGGTCTCCCTTTAATGAGATCTTCGATAGAAGAGAATATTTGTAGCTCAGGGATCAGCTGCGGGGTCTTTGGTGCTCTCTGAGTTTGGTGGTTTTCTTGCAGACGTTTCATTACCAACCTAGGTAACACCATCAGTGCTAGGAGGGAGTGGGGTTTGCAGGGAGGAGGAGGAGGAAGAATCATCTGTGGTGCTCTCTGAGTTTGAAGATTTTCTTGCAGACGTTTCATTACCAACCTAGGTAACACCATCAGTGCTAGGAGGGAGTAGGGTTTGCAGGGAGGAGGAGGAGCCATCCTTGGTGCTCTCTGAGTTTCTTGCAGACGTTTCATTACCCAACTAGGTAACATCCACAGAGCACTGATGATGTTACCTAGTCGGGTAATGAAACGTTTGCAAGAAAACAACCAACCTCAGAGAGCACCAACAACCCCCATAGTACAAACCTCTGTAGATCTCAACTCGTAAGTTAGATGGGAAAACTGGGAGACACCCTGAAATACCACGTAACTTTCACCCCCTCATTGCTAACTGGCTGGAGCTGCTGGGAGTCCAGAACTATCTTGAGGGCCGCAGGTACCCCAACTTTAGAATAAGTTGTGAGGATTATGAATGCCTCTCTCCTCTTTCGTGGGATCCTTTTCGCTGTGTCCTCTAACGGCCGTCTCCTTCTTCTTCTTCTCTTTCAGCCACACCCACTCTTCTGGTTCTATGGCCACTGTGCGGGAATGGTCCTGCACCCGTTGTACTTTCCTGAACCCCGTGGGACAGCGCCAATGCTCCATCTGCGAGGCCCCCCGCCAGAAGCCCGACCTCAATCACATCTTGCGCCTGAGTGTGGAGGAGCAGAAGTGGGCCTGCGCCCGATGCACCTTCCGGAACTTTGTGGGCAAAGAGGCCTGCGAGGTGTGTGGCTTCACCCCCGAACCTGGGCCAGGAGGCTCCCCTCTGCCAATCCTCAATGGGGTCCTGCCGAAGCCCACCGTCCTAGTAGAACCCAAAGCCAGTTGCAAGGAGGACATGCCGCAGATGGAGAGCCCCGGGGAGGACTCGGGGGGGAAGAGCCCCGAAGAGGCACTGCTGGAGGAGGGCTGGGCCTGCCAACGCTGCACCCTCCATAACACACCCGTTGCCAATTCCTGCTCGGCCTGCGGGGGCCCTCGCAAGCTCTCCCTGCCCAAGATCCCTCCAGAGGCACTGGTGGTCCCCGAAATCATCACACCTGCCGGCTTCCAGATAGCTCCTGCCACTGAGACTCCGGAGGGCCACCCAGCCGCCAATCAGGGCACTGCCCTTGCGGAGGAAGAGAGCCAGAAGATGCCAGCCTTCAGCCTTTTCTCCCCCGGCCTCCAGAACAACCCCGTTCCCCGTAGCCGCCGAGAGGTGCCACCTCAGCTCCAGCCCCCGGCCCCTGAAGCTTCCCAACCGGCTTCTCCACCAACCCCCGTGCAGAAGGCCATTCGCTTCCAGGAGATGATGGCGACCAAGCGGCTGAGCGTGCTGGAGGAAGAGATGGACGTGAGCTTGCCGCCCTGGCAGTGCAGCGCCTGCTCCCTGCTCAATACCTCGGGGAGTGAGGCCTGCGAGGCTTGCAGCAGTCAGAAGGGCAGTGACACTATTGATCTGACGGGGGACTCTGTCCGTTTTACGCCCTGTGGGCCCTCCAGCCCCGACTTCACCACCTGGTCCTGCTCCAAGTGCACCTTGAAGAACCCCACCGCGTCCCAGAAGTGCAAAGCCTGTGGCTCCTCCAAATTGCACGGCTTCCAGGAGCATAGCTGGCAGACGGAGCCGGCTGCCAAGTGCCCCGAGTGTAGCTCGGAGAAAGGCACCTGTGCGGCTTGTGGCACCAGAGCTCCTTCTGCCCGCAAAGTAGCCCGTCTCTTCCCGTTGCAGTCCCCGGTCACCCCTGAGCAAGCCAGCCAGTGGGCGTGCCCTGCTTGCACACTCCTCAACGAGCTCAAGTCCAAACACTGCCTCGCCTGCCACACGCCTCAAGTCTACATGGCGCAGCGCAAGGGCATCAAGCCGCTTCGGCGGCGCGAGAGCATGCACGTGGAGAAGCGACGGCAGACGGACGAGGGGGAGGCCAAAGCCCTCTGGGAGAACATTGTCTCTTTCTGTCAAGAGGTGCGTTGACATCTGTGCCTCTCGTTTGTCAGCAGTTGCACCTAGTGCACATCGGTATTGTTCCCCGACGTGTGCACCCCTGTGGCTTGGTTACCTGTCCTGACACCTGCCAGGCCCCCAGAACACCAGATAGAATTACTCCTGAGTGGTTTCCTTTAAAGAGGTGCAGTGGCTCAGTAGTTAAAGACGCTGGGCTTGACAGCTTTCCAGCTGGCAACCCGGGTTTGAGAGCTGAGCGCTGCCCAAGTGTGTGAGCTCCTGTTCCTTGCTGTAGCTCCTGCTCCCTAGAATTGTAAAGCATGCAAACGCGAGTAGATAAATAGGTACCACTTCAGTGGGAAGTAACACTGTTCTGCGCACCTTTGGCATATAGTCATACTGGCCACGTTACCGTGGGAAATGTCTGTGGACAATGCTGGCTCCCTTGGCTAAGAAACGGAGATGAGCCTCGGGCCCTAGAGTCAGACACGGCTGGACAGGGAAACCTTAACCTTACTTAGTTTCCTTTATGGATCTTCATCTATAGACAGAAGTCTTGCCAAACTAAAGCAACTATTGGCAGCACAAAAGAGATCCTCTGAGAATCGCTGGGGAGGAGCCTTCTTAACTCTCCTTCTCCCACCAAACTATCTGAGCTTCACCGCCTCTTTTACCTTAGGAAGGCAGCCCCTCCCACCTGGGAATCCAGGCTACATTCCACCACACACCCTGTTCTCTAGGCTCTCCAGACTAGAAAGATCCCTTTCATAGGAAGAGCCAGGGACCTTCGCTATTCAGAACAGGTCTTGATCTGAACAGGTGGCCCAATTGATTTCCTGAACTGGTTTGGATCACCAGCTTCTGCATTTCCCATCATTGAAGGTTATCAACCATAAGGGAGATGGTTTACGTTTTTCCTACTGCATGTGAAAAATCGGTTTCCTCTTGCAGCTGATTATTGGATTGATGGATTACAGGTTTTAAAGTTGGCTGGGGAATTGTGGGAGTTGAAGTCCAACCAACTGCATTTGATATGGGTGTGGCACCCTCTTTGCACCCCGCCTACAGTGAAGGGGCTCTCCATTGAGGGACCAGTTTTGGGGAAGAATTGAGGCTTGTGGGGAGAAGTTTAAAGAGCAAAATGGATGCCTAAGACCTTCATTGTTGTTGTTGTTAGTTGCGAAGTCGTGTCTGACCCATCACGACCCCATGGACAACGTTCCTCCAGGCCTTTCTGTCCTCTACCATCTTCTGGAGTCCATTGAAGCTCACGCCTCCAGCTTCAATGACTCCATCTAGCCACCTCCTTCTCTGTCGTCCCCTTCTTCTCTTGCCCTCCATCTTTCCCAGCATCAGGCTCTTCTCCAGTGAGTCCTTCCTTCTCATTAGGTGGCCAAAGTACTTGAGTTTCAACTTCAGGATCTGGCCTTCTAAAGAGCAGTCAGGGTTGATCTCCTCTAGGACTGACCGGTTTGATCGCCTTCATGGGATATCCTAAACCGTAACATAGAAGACAGATCTTTTTTTTTCTTCTGGTTTGATAGCTTTCCTAAGGAGCATAATTTGCCTTCAGCCGTAGCCTCCTCCAAAAAGAGACGAGAAAAGGTCCCAAAATATCATATCCATTTACCCCAAAAGTGCTTTTTTCAAAAGCCAGCTGGACTTTGTTCTTCCTTTTGTTAGGAAAAACAAAGTCCACTTTCCTTTTGAAAAAAACACTTTTGGGACAACTGTGACTATGGATGAATGCATTTTGCATTTCCCTTTACGTTTCCAATATGGTCCCACCACGACCACCAGCGCCCACCCTGCAAGGTCCCAGAAAAGTATGAGTCCAAATGCCTGGCTGAAAAAAAGTCGCCCGCGTCTTTTGTTTCAGGCCCACCGTGCTTTGGGGACTGCAAATAAAGGACCCCAAGTTCCACTTGATAGACGTTTCATGTCTCCGTCCTTCTTTCTGCCAGACGTAGCTTTTCAGCCTGCCTGCCTGCCAGCCTCTGGCAGCTTTGGGAAAAGCTTGATCCCAGACTTATTAATAACTAACCGTAGAGCAGCTTTAATGATCAAGAGCTGTTTTATTTCTCCAATTGCCGGTGGCAAATGAAGCCACATCAAATAATGTCTCTGGAAAAAAATATATACTATCTGTCCAGCTTCAGAGAGAACTCTGCTCAGGAAGAGTGTGTGGCCCTGGCATGGGGCATTTTCCTTGCTAGCTGAATGATATAGTTCGCATTTTCAAGTTGTACTTTCTGCGTTTGCTTTTGCAATGCAGTGGGTTTTTTTTTCTAGACTACCTCATGGGGTGGTTAAGCAGGTGTTCATAGAGTTATAGAATCATAGGGGCGGGAAGAGACCTTGGAGGCCTGCTAATCCATGGGTCTCCAACCTTGGCAACTGTAAAGACTTGTGGATTTCAACTCTCGGAATTCCTCAGCCAGCTAATCAAGGAGAGAAGCAACCTAGAACTAAGGAGAAATTTTCTGCAAGTGAGAACAATTAACCAGTGGAACGGCTTGCCTCCAGAAGTTGTGGGTGGTCCAACACTGGAGGTTTTTAAGAAGAGACTGGAGAACCATTTGTTTGAAATGGTATAGGGCAGGGGTCTTCAAACTTGGCCCTTTTATGACTTGTGGACTTCAACTCCCAGAATTCCTCAGCCAGGCACGCCTGGCTGAGGAATTCTGGGAGTTGAACTCCACAAGTCATAAAAGGGCCAAGTTTGAACACCCCTGGTAAACGTTTTCCTGCCTGAGCAGGGGGTTGGACTAGAAGACCTCCAAGGTCCCTTCCAACTGTTAAGCCTCCCAAGAGCTCAACCAGAGTCCTGCACACTGGGTGAGAGAGAACGGGTCTTGAGGTTGTTGTATGGATTAATTTTTCACGTACTGGAAAAATGTTACCATAATCTTATTTTCGGTGATCTTTTCTCAAGACTAAACGTACTCAAAATTTTCTTGGGTCTCTCCTCCAAAGATCTAATTTCCAGGCCCCTGATCATCAAAGGTGACTTTCTCTGCATCTCTTCCCGTAAGAATAGCAGCCAGTAATAGGCCAGAGCTATCATTATTCATTGAAAAGGTTGCTCGATTTTTAACTTAATTTAACGAACTTTAATCTAATTTACAGCAATTCTCATTAAAAGAGCTCTCTGAGCAGTTTACAATTAACGTACGATTTGCCGTTTAAAACAGTAGGTTAGAATGATCATCAGTGAATAAATAAACAAACCAGTAAATCAGTGGTTCTCAACCTTTTTAATGCCGCGACCCCCAACCGGTCGTAAGTCGAGGACTAAACCGGTTGTAAGTCGAGGACTAAACCGGTCGTAAGTCAAGGACTAAACCGGTCGTAAGTCGGCGACTACCCAACCGGTCGTAAGTCGAGGACTTTCCCTGCCCGGGAGCGCCGCACATGTGTGGTTCCGCCCCCTGCACCGGCCGAGGCGTAGCTGGCAAGCGGCAGAGACGGAGCAGGCCGACCACCACCTGGCCCAGCTCAAGGGAGGTAAGGCACCCGCCGGAAAAGGGGGAAAAAATGGCGGACAGCCTTGCTTGGCGACCCTCGTGAAATGGTCGATCGACCCCAAATGGAGTCGCGACCCATAGGTTGAGAACCGCTGCAGTAAATCAACACATATGTTTGGTGCAAAAATGCAAAATAAAACAGTAAGATAAATATCAAAACAGTACCCAAAAAGAAAAAAGCAGGAGTTGGGCGGGGGGGGGGGGAGAAAGCCACCACAGCAGCATTGACACATTTATCGCAAGTCCTAAGCGAATAAAAAAGTCAATTATGTTTCAGTATAAAAAAGCCCATAGAAGGGTTTGATATAAAAGTGCAGTAAAATTAATACCCAGGAAAATAGCAGCCGAGAGAGCAAACGGTGTAAAGGCATCCGGAGCAGATCAAAGCCTCTGCAAAAAATAATTAATGAAAATTCATGGAAATATTTTACAATATAGCAGACTGAAGTTTGAAAGGCCATAATAATAATAATAATAATAATGATGATGATGATGATGATGATGTTGGAAGGGACCTTGGAGGTCATCTAGTCCAACCCCCTGCTCAGGCAGGAAACCCTACACCATTTCAGACAAATGGCTGTCCAGTTTCTTCTTAAAAACTTCCAGTGTTGGAGCATTCACCGCTTCTGGAGGCAGGTTGTTCCACTGGTTAATTGTTCTAACTGTCAGGAAGTTTCTCCTTAGTTCCAGGTTGGTTCTCTCCTTGGTTAGTTTCCATCCGTTGCTTCTTATTCCCCTTCTCCTTAGAGCAGATCTTCCATGTACAGGTAGTCCTCGCCTCACAACAGTTCATTTAGTGGCCGTTTGAAGTTACAACAGCATAGAAAAAAGTGAATTACGACCAATTTTTCACACCTACGATCGTTGTTGCAGCATCCCCACGGTCACGTGATCAGACTTCGGAGGCTTGGCAACTGGTCCGTATTTATCACAGTTCCAGCGTGATCGCAATGATCCAGCGATCCAGATGCTCCTCCACAAATAGGATTTACGATAGCACATGGAGGAGTTTCTGTGCCTGGTGTTCAGTTCACAAAACGGATCTTTCGGGCATCACTATTCTGGTTATTCTGGAATTCCTGATGGATGGGTTGCACAAAGGGTTATCACCTAGCACCATCCGCAGACAGGTCTCATCCCTCTCCACGGTGATCGTGTGTGACAATTCCACCCCCCTGGGACAACACCCCGCGGTGCGTTCCTTTCTAAAAGGGGCTACCAACGCCAGGCCTCCGGCGGTCCGCCATTACCCCTCCTGGGACTTAACCCGGGTGTTACAGGCCCTCACATCGTTACCTTTTGAACCCATTACCACGTGTTCCCTCAAGCTATTATTCATAGCTGGTTATTTGTTCTCACTGTCAGGAAGTTTCTACTTAGTTCTAGGTTGCTTCTCTCCTTGATTAGTTTCCACCCGTTGCTTCTTGTCCTGCCTTCAGGCACTTTGGAAAATAGCTTGACTCCCTCTTCTTTGGGGCAGCCCCTGAGATACTGGAAGACTGCTATCCTGTCCCCCCTCGTCCTTCTCTTCGTTAAACTAGACATACCCAATTGCAGCAACTGTTCCTTATGTGTTTTAGCTTCCAGTCCCCTAATCATCTTTGTTGCTCTTCTCTGTACTCCTTCTAGGGCAGTGGTTCTCAACCTATGGGTCGCAACCCCATTTGGGGTCGATCGACCATTTCACGGGGGTCGCCAAGCAAGGCTGTCCGCCATTTTTTCCCCCTTTTCCGGCGGGTGCCTTACCTCCCTTGAGCTGGGCCAGCTGGTGGTCGGCCTGCTCCATCTCTGTCGCTTGCCAGCTACGCCTCGGCCGGCGTAGGGGGCGGAACCACGCACGCGCGGCGCTCCCGGGCAGAGAAAGTCCTCGACTTACGACCGGTTGGGGGTCGCGGCATTAAAAAGGTTGAGAACCACTGATCTAGGGGAAGGGAAGAATGGGGGTGGGGGGCTGTCTGACAAATGTCAGCCTGCATCTCAGCTTCTTATTTGCGTAGAACTCGATCTGCATCAGGAATTGCCTTGACTTCTCAAACGTTGTACCTGCAGAACAAGGTGAACTTCGTGGATGACAGCTTTCCTCCTGGTCCTAAGTCGGTTGGCTTTCCTGAAGGAGACAGCGTCCAGCAGCGAGTAAAGCAGTGGCTGAGGCCTCATGAGATCAACTGCAACATCTTCAAAGACCGCTCGGTCAAGTGGTCAGTTTTCCGGACACCCCGACCCTCGGATATCCTGCAGGGACTCCTGGGAAACTGCTGGTAAGGAACCAAGAGCCGATGGGTCCCTTTGTGGACGTTACTTCTTCTTCTTCTTCTGAAATGCCACCCTTGCATCCGTCACAAACCCAAGTGGGGAGGGTGGATCTGGACGCGCAACAAGAAAAGTCATGGCAGTGGGCCTATCTGCAGCTGGTCAGCTGTGAGCAGCATTTGCCAGGATCTCTTTCAGAGCGAGGAACAAGCAGTTGTTTGCTAGCCAAGAAACCGCACATCTTTATTGCCAGTTCTTTGGAAGCTGTGGACTGCAGAGGGAAACCAAGGATGTGGGGATTGCTTTGAAGGAGGCAGGCCTGTTGGTTTCTTTTAAACTAATAATGTGCTCATCCCGTTGGAGACGGAAGGTTCCTGCTTTTCTGAATTTCCCACCAGAAATTGGCCGGAAATCAGGCCATCCAAACCCCAGTAGTGTGAACTTGGCGGATTCTATTCTGTTCCGTTCCATTCCATTCCATATAAAGATTCCTATTCTATTCTATTCTATTCTATTCTATTCTATTCTATTCTATTCTATTCTATTCTATTCTTTCCAATATTCTATTCTATTCTATTCTATTCTATTCTATTCTATTCTATTCTATTCTATTCTATTCTATTCTATTCTTTCCAACATTCTATTCTATTCTATTTCCAATATTCTATTCTATTCTATTTCCAATATTCTGTTCTATTCTATTCTATTTCCAATATTCTACTATTCTGTTCTGTTCTGTTCCATTCCATTCCGTTCCGTTCCGTTCCATTCTATATAAATATTCTGTTCGTTCTGCCCTGTCCTACTCTACTCTACTCTACTCTACTCTACTCTACTCTACTCTACTCTACTCTACTCTACTCTACTCTACTCTATTCTTATTATTCTATTCTATTCATCGATTGTAATAGAAGGACTAGCAGGCTGCATGTGAATTGTGGGTTGGTCTCTCCAGATAATCCTTGGGGGTGCCGTCCTTTTCCTAAGCACTGGGCGAGGGTAAGGTCCAGAGTGAGATGACAATGTGTTGCATCGGGGGAGTATAATTGTGGTGCTTTTGTACTTGAGATCCTCTTTCCCAACCTGCCTGATTTCTCCCTTCTACCTCCACTTATTACAGATAGTCCTTTGACTTACAACAGTTCATTTAGTGACCGTTTCAAGTTACACCATGCTGAAAAAAGTGACATGACTGTTTTTCACACGTACGACGTGCCTCCCCCACGGTCTCCTGATCAAAATGTGGACGTTTGGCCACTGGCCTGTATTTATGACGGTTGCAGTGTCCCAGGGTCACGTGATCCGCTTTTGCAAGCTTCAGTGGGGACGCCGGGTTCAATTAACAAGTGGGTTACTAACAAGTGCAGTGATTCACTAAACAACTGTGGCAAGGAAGGTTCATAAAACGGGGCAAAATTCCCTTAGCAGCTGTCTCGCTTAGTCACAGAAATTTTGGGCTCCCTTGTGGTCGTACGTCAAGGATTACCTGCAGTTTCCCTTCGTCCTTCATTTTTGTGTCTTGAATGTTCACTGTGAAGTTAGTAACACGGTTGTTGAGTCTGGTTTTCCCACTGCCTTTGCTTGTCAGAAGGTCACAAAAGATTTTGGTCAAGAATACATATATGGTTAGAGAAAATGATTAAAAAACATATAGATTTTCAGCCAGAATTATTTTTTGTTAGGTATAATTGTAGGAAATTATGAGAAAGAATGTACATATTTGATGTTACATGTATTAACTGCAGCAAGAATTTATTCGTGCCACATTGGAAAAATCCAGACTTCCCAAAAGAGGAAGAGTTAATCCAAAAAAATTCTAGATTGTGCAGAAATGGACAGGCTGACATTGAAAATGAAAAAGAAAGAAGACTCAGTATACTTTAGAACATGGGATACTTTTTATCAATGGCTAGAAAAACCAGGTAGAGAGAAAGGAACTTAATATGTATTAGTAAGTTAAATATTGGAACCCAGACAATATGTTGCTGATAAAATATTAAGAACTTGTGACTATAAAAAATTAATAAAAATCTGATCTCCTTTGAGTCCAGCTCAAGTGCTAATGACCACACGGACAAATCTGTGCAACGTTCTCAGCCACAGATTGTAATTTGTCTTCTTCCGGAAGGCTTTATCAATTCCCACCTTCTTAATATTCCTGGAAGATTCCCATTCAGGGGCTAACTGGTTCTGACCCTTCCAGTCCACTCAAGGTCGGTCCGGTGCTGCCATCTGCTGAAACTCCTCTTAAAAGAAAAAAGAAAAAAGACTATGGACAGAGGCTGCCCTCTCCTGTCCCTGATGAGGCTTGAATTCCTCTTTGCCGATGAAGCCTGAAGAATTCAGGAAGTCCTTGACTTACCGTATTTTTCCGTGTATAGGACGCTGTTTTTTTCCTGCAAACACCCCCTTCAAAAATCAGGTGCGTCTTATACACGGAAAAATAATGGTAACCTCCACAGCCCAGGGCATGCCTGTGTGGGTTGCCACGCCGCCTGGTGCAGGTGTCAAGCCCCTGTGGGCTTGCCACTAACAGGAGGGGGCAAGACCTTCTGCCGGCCGAACTTGCAGATTTGCCAGCTCAGCTGTTCGGCGCTCCGCCAAACAGCTGATCGGCCCGGAGAGCGTCTTATACACGGGTGCATCTTATAGATGGAAAAATACGGTATAACAGTTCATTTAGTGACCGTTTGTAAAGTTACATCACTGAAAAAAGTAATTCAGGATCCTTTCCCACACTTATGACCATTGCAGCATCCCCATGGTCAGATGATCAAAATTCAGATGCTGGGCAACTGGCTCGTATTTATGACGGTTGCATCTTTTGTGACCTTTTTTAAAATTATACATATATATATAATCCGCAAATTATATATATATACAATCCGCAAACAATAGCTCCCACACAGGCAACCAATCCACCTACAGCAACTAAGCCAGCACTCCACACCCCCCCACCAATATTTATAGAGAGACGGCAGCTCCGATCACACTTTGCTCGCACAAGTACGAAGCCGAAGACTCCAGCCTGAAGATGACGATTAATTTTTTATAGTCACAAGTTCTTAATATTTTATCAGCAACATATTGTCTGGGTTCCAGTATTTAACTTATTAATAATATTAAGTTCCTTTCTCTCTACCTGGTTTTTCTAGCCATTGATAAAAAGTATCCCATGTTCTAAAGTATACTGAGTCTTCTTTCATTTTCAATGTCAACCTGTCCATTTCTGTACAATCTAGATTTTTTTTTTATTAAGTCTTCCTCCGTTTGTAATTCTGAATTTTCCCAATGTTGAGCAAATACAATTCTTGCTGCAGTTAATACATGTAACATCAAATATGTACATTCTTTCTCATAATTTCCCACAATTTCCTAGCGAAAATAATTCTGGCTGAAAATCTATATGTTTTTTAATCAGTTTCTCTAACCATATATGTATTCTTGACCAAAATCTTTTGTGACCTTCTGACAAGCAAAGGCAGTGGGAAAACCAGACTCATTTAACAACCGTGTTACTAACTTAAAACAGTTGCAACGATCCACTTAACAACTGTGGAAGGAAAGGTCGTAAAATGGGGCAAAACTCACTCAACAAATGTCTCACTTAGCAACATAAATTTTGGGGCTCAATTATGGTCGTACGTCAAGATTTACCTGTACATCACTTTCCCCAAGGTGGACGTTCTCTTTCACTGGAGACTGCCTTGAGACCACTTAATGGTCTTAAGAGGAATCACATGACCGGGGCTGGCGAGAGAATTCTGGGAGTTGAAGTCCACATGTCTTAAAGTAGCCAAAACCCTGCTTAATGGGATGTGAGCATTCTCACGAGTAATTCCTGTCAGGTGGGTTTCTTCTCTCACCATTCAGGATTTTTCAGTGGATGCCCGTCTCTTTCAGGTTCCTGAGTGCCCTGGCAGTGCTGGCAGAACGGCCCGAATTGGTGGAAAGGGTGATGATCACGCGGACCATGTGCCCGGAGGGGGCCTACCAAGTCCGTCTATGCAAAGATGGCACCTGGACCACCGTGCTGGTGGATGACATGCTGCCGTGCGATGAGTGTGGCTATCTCCTCTTCTCCCAGGTTGGTGCCATGAGTTGGGGGAAGGGGCTGCGTCGAGGTGACTCTTGTGGGAGGAGCGCTGGGAAATGTTCTTCTCGGGATTCTCAAAGGAACCCCCCCAACTTGTTGCACAGATAGTGAAGAATAGCTGCTTTCTTCTTCAACCTGGTGCTCCCCAAATGTGTTGGCGCTACAGGTAGTTCTCAACCTCCAACCTTAACACCTTAATGACCACTCAAACTTGCAATTGGCCTCCCCAGAGCTACTTATGACACTTTTTTTGGAATTGCCATGGCCACAAATGCACAGACATGTCACGGTCACATGATTGCACTTTAACCGGATAACAGAGTTGGAAGGGACCTTGGAGGTCTTCTAGTCCAACCTCTTCATGTCGGGGGTTTAGCAACCAGCTCACCTTTATGGTCATGTCAATGTTGTTGTTTTTTTGCCAGCTTCTGGCATTTACTTCCAGTTTGGGGCAAAAAAAATATGTCCCCTGGAGAAAATGGATTTGCTTAAACCACCACCGTGTTCACTTAACAATCGTTTTAAAAAAAAGAAATTGTAACTTTGAATCCGGTCATGCGATCCTTCAACTCGGGACCGCTTGACTTACGACTGTAATTCTGGGCTCATTTACGGTCGTAAGTTGAGGGCTACCTGTATCCATCATGGTTGAGTGGAATTTGAAGGACACCAGGCTTTGGAAAGTTGTCTTAGAACGGTGCAGAATGCCTCTCCCTGAGGTGCAGAATTCCACGCCCCGAGTTTTTCTGCTCTTCTTTATAAAAAGATGTTTCCAGTCTATATGTGAAGGCCACATATGAGTTGGAAAGAATGAGATTGACACCGAATGAACTCTCAGAAGTCAAGGGAAGTTTGAATGGAAATATTTTAAGACCGAAGGAAACTGCCCGCTAGGCTGGAGGGAAGGGTCAAATGAGGGCTTAGCTTGGAATCATTGCAAGCAGTCCGGTGAGATTCTGGTAACCTGGGCAGACCTCAATAAAGTTCACGGCTTTAGCTATTTATGTGTCGCTTCCATGGCTTGCACTTGACCGGGAACGAGAAATCTGTCTGTTGTCAATCTGTGTCTCCAACTCGGTGTCTTGTCTTCCTTCCCCAGGCCCAGAGAAAACAGCTGTGGGTGGCTCTGATTGAGAAGGCCTTGGCCAAACTCCACGGTTCATACTTTGCCCTCCAAGCAGGGCGCGCTATTGAAGGCCTGGCTACGCTCACCGGCGCTCCCTGCGAGAGCTTAATGCTGCAGGTCAGCTCCACTAACCCTCGCGAGGAGGCCATTGACACTGACCTCATCTGGGCCAAAATGCTGAGTTCTAAGGAGGCTGGGTAAGACAAGGGAGAAGGGAGGGGCTCCCCTTTCAAGGTTGGAGGAGGACAAAGATGGGACCAGGAGGAGGAGCCCGAGAGAATCCGGCCCCTTGGCCCAGTCCTCTTGCGTTCCGGTTTAAGTACAGGTGGTCCTCGACTTACGACCGCGACCGAGCCCAAAAATCTCTTGTCGTTAAGCGAGAGAGTTCTCCAGCGAATGTCACCCCGTTGCACAAGCTCTCCTGCCACCGTTGTTAAGTGGATCACTGCAGTTGTTAAGTCAGTCACACGGCTGTGAGGGGAATCTGGCATCCCCTTTGACTTGGCTTGTGAGGGAAGGACGCAAAAGGGGGAGTCGCATGACCCCGGGACACGGCAACTGTCGTGAAAACAAGCCAGTTGCCAAGCATCCGAATTTTGATCATGTGAACATTAGGGATGCTGCAATTGTCACAAGTGTGAAAAATGGCCATAAAGTCACTTTGTTTAGGGCTGTCGTAACTTTGAACGGTCACTAAGTGAACTGTCGTAAGTCAAGGACTACCTGTAGTTCACCACCAGGACCAGGGAATGCAAGATGGACTCTTCCCCTCAAAAAGAAAATCTGTTTCCATTAGAGCCAGGGGTAGACAACCTTGGCTCTTTTATGACTCATGGACTTCAACTCCCAGAATTCCTGAGCCAGCATGGCTCAGCTTGGAAACCTCTCCCTTTCCCCTCAGCATGGCTGGCTCAGGAATTCTGGGAGTTGAAGTCCACGAGTCATAAAAGAGCCAAGGTTGCCTACCCCTGCTCTAGGTCTTTAGGCAGCACAGGGACCTCCAAGTTGACTGAAGATGTGAAATCTAATTTGCTCAAATCAATGCTGGGTACGGGGCCCATCGAAAAGAAACTGGTCCTGCTTCCTTCACGATACTTCAAAACATGAGGAGAAACCACTGTTGTGTGTCCCTTTCTGAACAATCCAGTTGGCCTGTGCCATGATTGGCAGGTGTGTCCTTCTAAACCAGGGGTAGGCAACCTTGGGTCTTTTATGACTCGTGGACTTCAACTCCCAGAATTCCTGAGCCAGCATGGCTCAGCTTGGAAACCTCTCCCTTTCCCCTCAGCATGGCTGGCTCAGGAATTCTGGGAGTTGAAGTCCACGAGTCATAAAAGAGCCAAGGTTGCCTACCCCTGGTCTAGGTCTTTAGGCAGCACAGGGACCTCCAAGTTGACTGAAGATGTGAAATCTAATTTGCTCAAATCAATGCTGGGTACGGGGCCCATCGAAAAGAAACTGGTCCTGCTTCCTCCACGATACTTCAAAACATGAGGAGAAACCACTGTTGTGTGTCCCTTTCTGAACAATCCAGTTGGCCTGTGCCATGATTGGCAGGTGTGTCCTTCTAAACCAGGGGTAGGCAACCATGGCTCTTTTATGACTGGTGGACTTCAACTCCCAGAATTCCTGAGCCAGCATGGCTCAGCTTGGAAACCTCTCCCTTTCCCCTCAGCTTGGAAACCTCTCCCTTTCCCCTCAGCAACCTCTCCCTTTCCCCTCCCTTGGAAACCTCTCCCTTTCCCCGGCTGGCTCAGGAATTCTGGGAGTTGAAGTCCACCAGTCATAAAAGAGCCGAGGTTGCCTACCCCTGCCCTAGACCCCTTGTGTCAGCGTCATCATGATCCCTCCCACAAAAAAATATATCATCCAAAAAATAGCATCTCTTCCCAGACCCCAGTTGGAAGTGGCGCAGTCCACTGTAGGTTTTTACCAACCCCTTTTTCCACAGATGTGGATTAGTCCTAAGAAACAGTCACAATATTTGTTGTGTAATCTTCAAGGATCAGGGAAGCAGGATATGCTTTTATGATCCTGGCCAGCTTTTTTTTCCCCTAGTAAACCGTGAAGAAATTGAAAAACGTAATATATTTCTGGAAAACGTAGATGAATGCCTAATTTTCAAGTCTATGGAGATTCTCAATCATCCAAGTCATGGTTGTTCCGGCGGTGCCTTTTTTAAAAGGCAATTGGACTTTGTTTTTTTTCCCCTTGAAGATGTTTTGCTTCTTATCCAAGAAGCTTCTTCAGTTTTGACTGAAGATCTGAAGAAGCTTCTTGGATGAGAAGTGAAACTGAAGAAGCTTCTTGAATGAGAAGCAAAACATCTTCAAGAAAAAAAACCCCACAAAGTCTAGTTGCCTTTTTAAAAAAGCACTTTTGGGATACCTAATTTTCAAATAAAACTAAAAGCTCTTAGGACTAAACACTTAGTCCTGGCACTTTCCAGGTGGGCTTCAACTCTCAGAATTCTTAGCAGGAGCCACCATAGCTGTGGAATAGTGGGATTTGAAGTTCTCCCATCTGGAGATCGCCACGGTTGGAAAACACTGGCCTAGATCTTTGTCCTTTGTCTCTTGTTTCTTCTCTCATACCTTCCCCACATTTTATTCCCATTTCTGTTACTCTTCAGCTTCCTCATGGGAGCATCGTGCGGAGGAGGCAACATGAAGGTGGATGATGCGGCCTATGAAAGCATGGGTCTTCGCCCGCGGCATGCGTACTCCATATTGGACGTACGAGATGTGCAGGGATGCAGGTAAACATGGCTACGCTGATGATGATTCTGGCCTCTTTGCTCATGGACAGTTTGCTTGCCTTAAAATGAGGGGTACATAGATTGAATCATTTCCAGTTATTCAAGATTGATTCGAGATTGCTGGATTTTCTTGTTTCTTCAGCTTTGTAAAGCTTTTGAATGTCTTTAGCCTCAAAACTGGTAAGAAACAAGCTAACCAGTATTCACCAATCATGGTCAGAAATAGGCTAAAAAAAGAGCTGTAGGAGGAGGATGATAGATAGATAGATAGATAGATAGATAGATAGATAGATAGATAGATAGATAGATAGATAGATAGATAGATAGATAGATAGATAGATAGATAGATAGATAGATAGATAGACGGATGGACGGATGGACGGATAGATAGATTAGAAATAATAGATGATATATATAGATATTAGAAATGCTCGATAGATATAAAGCTTGAGTATGTGTAGATAGATTAGAAATAATAGATGATAGATATAGATGTTAGAGATAATAGATGGTAGATATAGATAGAGCTTGAGTGTGTAGATAGATATGATAAATATAAATAAATATTAGAGATTAGATAGACAGACAGACCGACCACAGGTTGCCCCTCTTGATTTTAAAATGTCGATTTGCTATCGTATTCTAATTTAAAACTGAGCCATGGTTTATCGAACAAACTATAATTTCTTGCCAATTAATTACCTTTAATCTGGGTGAAGGGATCTTGGCTAAACATTGTGTGTGAATCCAAATATCAGTGGTTCAAAACAGCCATTGGCAAGAAATTTGCCAACGGGAAACATCTAAAATAAAGAAATAAATGTCTTTGGTTCAAGAATATTGCTTTGAGCACCTGCCAAATATATTCAAACCCACCAGATAATCAAATGAAACCAATGCAATAATGTAAGGTTTCTTAAATCAGGTCGTAGCCCTTTTTAAAAACAAAAACCCTTACATTCTCGCTGGCTTTCAGCGGTGTAAGCTGTAACCCTTGACACACTTTCCTGTTTAAGCACAGCAGGACTTATTTCTCAGCAAACACGCTCGGCATTCAACTCATTGTCTCCTAAGGCAGCAGATAAAATGGCTCTAATATTCGGCAGGCTGCTGCTTATTCATTCAATCCATTGTAAACTCTTTAATCTTTTGTGAAGGCAGAGCAGTGCCAATCTTCATATCTCTGTAAATGTAAGAGATGAGTAGGCAGAGCTAGGGGTGGGGGAGTTAAGTGCGTCATCAGCCTAGAATCATTATGTTGCCAGAAAGGTCCAACTCCTCGAATACCATTGACCTTTTTATCTAGGGCCAATTTAGTACTGAAGTTTAGTTGACTAGATTCTTGTGTATCTGAACTGCAACTGAACGGATGGTCCTGATCCTTTGCGCCTACCATTAATCTAGTCAACTGAGGATCAGTACTACGTTGGTGCCAGATAAGGGTCAACGAAATTCAAGAAGGGTTGGACCCGGACCGTTTGTGGCAACGTGATGATTCTAGGCAGATGACACATTTAACTCCACCTTCCCAGGTCTGCCTGCTCTTCTCCCGCAGTGAAGAGCTTATGCCTTACTCTTAGCTCAGAGTAAGAGCTAAGTAACCCGTTTTTCTCTTTTTTCCCCCCCTCCGTAAATTCCTGTCAGACTGCTGCGACTTCGTAATCCCTGGGGCCGCTTCTCTTGGAATGGCAGCTGGTCCGATGAGTGGTCCCACTGGCCCTCCCATTTGCGTCACGAGCTGATGCCCCACGGGAGCAGCGAGGGCGTCTTCTGGATGGAGTACAGCGATTTCATCAGGTATTTCCCAGCGGGAGCCAGCTGCGTCCCGGAGCTCTTGGGGTGCTCGGGCTCAGCTTTGGGATGGTGGGGTTGTGGATCTCAAGATCACAAGGTAGAAATGCCTCCTAGGTCTGTCTGTCAGTCTGCCTATCTACACACACACACACACACACACACACACTTAAGATCTATCTGTCCGTCCGTCCATCCGTCTCATCTCATCTCATCTATTTCATTATCTATCTATCTATCTATCTATCTATCTATCTATCTATCTATCTATCTCTCATGTGATATCTATCTATATTGTATCTATCTACACACACACACTCAAGCTCTATCTATATCATCTATTCTCTAATATCTATCTATATCATACCTATCTACACACACTCAAGCTTTATATATATATATCATCTATATTATCCATCTGTCTGTCTACCTACCTACCTACCTACCTATCTATCTATCTATCTATCTATCCATCTATCACAATCTATCTATTTATCTATCTCTCATCAATTTCATATCTATATATTTGTCTATTTATCTATCTATTATGTAATATCTATATCATATCTATAGACACACTCAAGCTCTATCTATATCATCTATTATCTTTAATTATGTATCATCTATTATCTCTAATTTTTATCTATATCACACCTATCTACACACACTAAGCTTTACATATATCTATCATCTATATTATCCATAGCTATCTCATCTCTCTCATCTATCTCACCTACATATATATCTGTCTATATCTATCTATTTATATCTCGTCTAATATCTATCCATCTCTATCATATCTATCTACACACACTCAAGTTTTACATGTATATATCTAACATCCATATTATCTGTCTGTCTGTCTGTCTGTCTGTCTGTCTGTCTGTCTGTCTGTCTGTCTGTCTGTCTGTCTGTCTGTCTGTCTGTCTGTCTGTCTATCTATCTATCTATCTATCTATCTATCTATCTATCTATCTATCTATCTATCTATCTATCTATCTATCTATCTATCTATCTATCTATCTATCTCTTCTGCCCGTATTGTTTTTGCAAATAACACAAGGCTGTGAACATACCTAACACACCTTCCTCCTCCTATTTTCCCCACCACAACTCCCCTGTGAGGCGGGCTGGGCCGAGAGAGAGGAACTGGCTCAAAGTTAAGATAGATGCTGGCTTCTTTTGCCAGGTATTTCGACTCCGTGGACATCTGCAAGCTCCATTCGGACTGGCACGAAGTGCGTGTGCAGGCGGCTTTCCCCAACAAGGCCAGCGGGCCCATAACGGTCACCTCACTGACGGTGCTGGAGCGAGCAACTCTGGAGTTTGCTCTCTTCCAGGAAGGCAGCAGGTGAGGCGGCAGATCCAGCCAACCAGGTGAAGAACTGAGGCTGCAGCCCTTCCTGATGGGGTTCTTCCACATTCAGCCATTGCTGGCTGGGCATCTCTGGGAGTTGAAGTCCGCCCGCCCGCCTTAGAATTGCCAAGGTTGGGGACCCTGATCTAAACGGACCCTGCCTCTGAGCTGTGCCCCCTTCTTCCCTCTTGTCCTGTCTCAGACGCTCGGACACGGTGGACAGCCACCTCCTCGACCTTTGCATCATGGTGTTCCGGGCCACCTTCATCAACGGGAGCAAGCTGAGCCTGGGACGCCTGATGGCCCACAGCAAGCGAGCGGTCAAGAAGTTTGTCAACTGTGACATCATGCTGGAGCCGGGCGAGTATGCCGTGGTGTGCTGCGCCTTCAACCACTGGACGGCCTCAGGGCCGGGGACCCCAGGCCCAGGTGACAGCAGGGGAGGGCTTGCTTGGAGGGTGGGACGGAGAGGAAGTAGGACGATGCTAGCGTCGGAAGAAAAGCCCTCTTGAATCGGGAATGGAGGACTCTCTCCAGAAGTCACTGTGAAGGGTTGGTTGTTGAATTGCAGCTCAGGGATTCAAACGGCCACAGATGTTCACAGGGTCTCCCTTTCATGAGATCTTCGATAGAAGAGAATATTTGTAGCTCAGGGATCAGCTGTGGGGTCTTTGGTGCTCTCTGAGTTTGGTGGTTTTCTTGCAGACGTTTCATTACCAACCTAGGTAACACCATCAGTGTTAGGAGGGAGTGGGGTTTGCAGGGAGGAGGAAGAATCATCCGTGGTGCTCTCTGAGTTTGAAGATTTTCTTGCAGACGTTTCATTACCAACCTAGGTAACACCATCAGTGCTAAGAGGGAGTAGGGTTTGCAGGGAGGAGGAGGAGCCATCCTTGGTGCTCTCTGAGTTTCTTGCAGACATTTTATTACCAAACTAGGTAACACCCTCAGTGCAGAGCTAAGCAAATGAGATTTTTCTCAGTGGGGTTCTTCCTTGTCGTAGCGAGAGTTTTGCACCTGGAGGCAAAGCAAGACAAAAATCTGACAAATATATCTTAATTCTCCTTAATTCTCCCTCGACATTTGCTCTTTTGGGTGAAAAGGAATTTCCCACCAAATAGTCCATTGAATATGTCAGTGTTTTACGTTGTCCTGGAAAATGTGAATTGCTGAGGAGAGCCCTTGATTCTTCAGACAGAGAGGACATTTGGATCCTACTCCCTTCCGTGCGGGTCTGGCTCTCCACAGACACTGGAGTGGACATCTGACCCTATTCTTAAGCTAGCTGAGGGATGCCATGCAAGGAGAGCATTGGATGGCAGGAAGGTATAATGCTCGGGGCGGCGTCTCCTACAACTGAATCCAGCCCTATCTCTGTATCTTTCCATCTCTCTCAGGCTCCAGCCCTACATCTACCAGTGAGTGCCCTGCCACTGAAGTCTCCAACTACATCCTGGCCATCTACGGTTCCCGCCTTGTGATGGTAGAACAGATTGAGGCCCAATCGACCACGTTGGCTGACGCCATCATTCTCCTCACGGAGAACAAGGGCGAGCGGCATGAGGTAGGTGTTGGTGACCGTTATCCTCTTGAATTTTGGATTTTAGTTTGGTGGTTCTTACTGTTGACTTTAAAAAAAAAAGAGGAAAGAAGTAAAAAGGATTCTTAGTTCTCAGTTCTCTGAGGAGTCTGGGATCACTGAGTACCCTTCTGACCAATCTATCCACTTAACCGTAGCTTAGTGTGCGGGTGTCCAACCCTGGCAACTTGAAGACCTGGGAACTTCAACTCCCAGAATTCCTCAGCCAGCCTCTTAGTTTAGACTAGGGATGTCCAGTCTTGGCAACTTGAAGACCTGGGAACTTCAACTCCCAGAATTCCTCAGCCGGCCTCTTAGTTTAGACTAGGGATGTCCAGTCTTGGCAACTTTAAGACCTGGGAACTTCAACTCCCAGAATTCCTCAGCCAGCCTCTTAGTTTAGACTAGGGATGTCCAAAACTGGCAAGTTTAAGATCTGGGAACTTCAACTCCCAGCTATCTGGGGAATTCGCGGAGTTGAAATCCACAAGACTTAAGAGTTGCCATGGTCGGACACCCCTGGCTTAATGTGATGAGTGAAATTTTTCCCAGCCTTCAGCCTGTGCACATATGACTCATTCAGAGAAAAGTCTGATTATATTTCTTTGTGGAACAGGGGCGCGAAGGGATGACCTGCTACTACCTGACGCACGGCTGGGCTGGTCTCATTGTCGTGGTGGAGAACCGGCACCCCAAGTCCTATCTCCACGTCCAGTGCGACTGCACAGATAGCTTCAATGTTGTGTCCACTCGGGGCAGCTTGAAAACGCAGGACAGCGTGCCACCCTTGCACAGGTGAGACCCCAAAAGTGCAGAATAGAAGTGCAGGTATGGCTGGTCCGATGTGCGTTCGAATGCTCAAGCCACGGAGCTAAGGAGAAGCAAGAACCCTGATCAGCCTTTGATTATTATTATTTTTTATCCCTTGCTTGTGTGTGTCAGCCTTCAAATCAGCTTTCAGTGACGGGACTTGTCCCTGCGGTTTCCTTGGCAAAGTTTTTCAGAAGTGTTCTGACATTGCCTATTTCCTAGGGTTGAGGGGGAGAGGCTGGCCCAAAGTCCCCCAGATGACTTTGTGCCTAAGGCAGGACTAGAACTCAGGGTCTCCCAGTTTTTAGTCTGATGTCTTAACCACTACTCCAGTGATGGCGAACCTTTTAGAGACCGAGTGCCCAAACTGCAATCCAAAACCCACTTATGCATCGTCGGGTGCCAGGTGGGTGTGGCCCATTGGGTGGGCGTGGTTGCGGTGGTAACGGCAGACTGGGTGGGACTAAAAAGTTCAATCAATCAATTCCAACTTTGCAAGATCTTTTTTTTTCCCGCGAAAAGTTGAAATTGACTGATTGATTGAATCTTTTCTTTTTTTTTTGCACATGGTGGCAGAGGCCTAAAGTGAAAAGGTTTTATAAAACCCAGCTGAAGGCCTAGGACTGGGGCGATGGCGCGCGTGCCCACAGAGAGGGCTCTGAGTGCCGCCATAGGTTCGCCACTACTGCACTAGTCCAGCTGACTCTTCATTTATTATATATTATTATGGTGGCGCAGTGGTTAAAATGCAGTATTGCAGGCTACTTCTGCTGACTGCCGGCTGCCAGCCATTTGACAGTTCGATTCTGACCGGCTCAAGGTTGACTCAGCCTTCCATCCTTCCAAGGTCGGTATAATGAGGACCCAGATTGTTGGGGGCTGACTCCGTAAACTGCTCAGAGAATGCTGTAAAGCACTATGAAGTGGTATATAAGTCTAAAGTGCTATTGTGCCTAAGGCAGGACTAGAAGTCAGAGTCTCCCGTTTTTTTAGTCTGGTGCCTTAACCACAAACCAAATCGGTTACTGAAACTTCGTGTGAATCCCGGCCCTATTGCTAAATCCTGATGTTCCTTCTCCCGTAATAAGAGCGTGGAAGAGAAAGGAACACGAAAGAACAGACGCTTAGCTTCCCAAGTCATTGGATCTTGGTTTTCTGAGCACTGGTTGAAAACCACCCAGTTGACTTTGTGCCTAAAGCAGGGCTAGAACTCACAGTCATTCTGGTCTGATGCCCCCAACCCACTACACAGTGCGCCAAATCGGCTCGCTCTGATGGTTTATAGTGAGCCTAATCCCTGTGAAGGCCAAAAACGTCATCTCGTTTCAGATGAAAACATCCCCTCTTTTGCACCGTTTAGCACAGACGTGTCAAACACAAGGCCCCGGGGCCAGATGCAGCCCGCGAAGTGGTTTCCTGTGGCCCGCGAAGCCATCCTGGAAACAGTGAGGGAACGGCCCCCGCTGCCTTGGCCCTGGCCCATAAAAATGAAAGGGTAGATGCTAAAGCTTGTTGCAAGCCAGTCTTCTTCAATCTCCTCCAGATAGGCTGGACTTCAGTTCTGTTCATCCACAGCTTGAGGATTATGGGGAATTGAAGTCCAACACATCTGAAGAAGAAGACATCAAAATCAGGATGTCTGCTTGAAACATGCCTTCATTTTTGATCCTGGCTTTTGTAAGGTTTTCCACCTAGCCTCACAAACTCCTCTGGGCTACTCAGGAATTTCAAAGAGCCAAAAGAAACGCCTGAGCTGAGCTTTCAGCAAAGAAAGCAACTTTATTTTGGCCAAGACAGAGTTGGGTAGCCTTCTCCCTCTTCGTGGCTGCTTAGAGCAGACATGTCAAACACAAGGCCCGGGGGCCGGATGCGGCCCGCGAAGTGGTTTCATGTGGCACGCGAAGCTATCCGGGAAACAGTGAGGGAACGGCCCCCTCTGCCTTGGTCCTGGCCCTGGCCGGCCGGGAGCCAATGTACAATTTTGTGGTGGCCTCTATGCTGAAACGCATTCAGTCTTAGCTCCACAAGGCCATCTGGAAACAGCGAGGAACCAGCCCCTGCCGCGTCGGCCCCACTCCCTGGGTGCATGCTGGGGAGGTGTCACCCTTTGTGAGGAATGAAGAAATGCACCATCGCCTGGAAGTGGCCAGCAAATGGTCCTCGCCTATTTCACATATCCGGCTTGATGGGCTCCAGGGGGAGAGGTTTCGGCAGGCAGCGGGGCGCTCTCCTCACAGCGCCAAGAGCTGAGCCGGGTGGCGCAAATCTGATGAGAAGTGCAATGCTGCCTAGCCCCCAGCCTGCCCAATTTCAGCAGGCAGCAAGGTGCAAAGCTGGCGGGCTTCGCACCGCCTGGCTCAAGTTCTCGGCGCTGTGAGGAGAGCGCCCCGCTGCCTGCCGAAACCACACCCACCCCACTCCATTCACGCCCACCCAGTAGGCCACACCCACTCTGCCCACACCCACCCAGCCCCCCCCCCTCTGAGGGAAACTGCAATGCTGAAATTGAATTTGACATCCCTGGTTTAACAGTTCTGCAAGACATTGGCTGAAAGGGGGGTTTTTTTGGCAAGGATTTTAATGATCGGATGGTCTGGATGACTTAACGTCTTCTGCAGATTCGAGAAGCTCTCTCACCTCCCTCTCCCATCCTTTCCCCCCCCTCCCCTTTTCTCTGTTTTGGTTCTCCTCCTTCAGGCAGGTCCTGGTGATTTTATCCCAACTGGAAGGAAATGCCGGCTTCTCCATCACGCACCGCTTGGCCCACCGCAAGGCTACCCAGGCATTCCTGAACGACTGGATGTCAACCAAGGGGACGCACAACCCCCTGCTCACCCCCGAGGTGGCGGGACTGCACGGGCCCCGGCCACTATGACAAAGGGCCCCCCCAACCCCTTCTCTTCTTCTGCTTCTGCCTTTGACTAGCCCCGCCTGTCTCGCGCATTGCCCCAGCCGTCCGTGCACAACCCGTCGGGATGAAGGAGGAGGACCGACGATTTCGCGGGTTTCAAACTAAGCAACTCTTCTCCTGTTCTCTGGGGTTAAGCCGGGAGCTGCTCAGGTTCCCCCCCCCCCCACTTCCTTCCCTCTCCCTCTCTTGAAAAATCCATCTCCCCTTTTTTTCCCCCCTTTCCCACAGAAGATGCACTTTATCCAAAGCTGCGGTCAGGATAGGAGAGCAAGGAAAAAAAATAATTTTTTTTTTAGAGCTGGGAGAAGGATGCAGGTTCCAGCATGCCGAACAGCCCTGAGCGCTGCCAGCTGCTTGGTCCCCGGGGACCGTGGTCCTTCGTTCCCTCAGCTGCCAAGTTATCCTACGGCTGCAACAATATACCTCTGGTGAACGTGTCTGTCTGTCTGTCTGCCTTCCCTCACGGTTCAAGGCGTCAGTCGCTGCTGGGATGGGTTGAGGAGGGGGTCGGGGTTAGCGAGGGTGCCCTGCTCCACTGACGGGGAAGGGCTGAGTTGGAGGGTGGGCTCCTTCTCCCTTCTAGCAACGATTGTCCAGTCGCAGGAGATTTATAGCAGAGGTGTGTGTCCAACTTGGGCAACTTCAAGACCTGTGGACTTCCAATTCCCAGAATTCCCCAGCCAGCACGGTCCACAAGTTTTAAAGTCGTTCAGGTTTGGACGCCCCTGGTTTACAGAGAGATGGAGTCTGCACATCCACCTGAGGAGACCTGCCTGCAGTCCACTTCACACTAGCCCCAAAGCAGGCTGCACACATAATGTACCGGCTGCCTCCCAATTGAGCAGGTGCGCTCAGCATCTGCGGGGTAGGGAGGCTGTGGTGGGCCAGGGGTGTGCTATTTCGTCAGCCTTTTCCTGGAGGGACTTGCTGCTGCATCACAACGGAGCCATAGTGAAGACACCGAGCTGGGAGCGGGGAGGTGTCTTTGCTTTGGTATCTGCCCCTTGTTCCCTCCTTGTGGCCCTCACTCCCACCCGGGCGGGCTGGGCGAGGAACGGAGGCCCACACCTCCATTGTGGTGGCCGGCCAGCTAATGCTTTATCCGCTTGGGAAGAGCAGAAGGTCTTTCATTTGTCTTTGTGTTGTGGTGTCCTTGTCGGCGTCCTTTCGGGAGGTGAAGTCCGTGTGCGTTTGTTGGGTTGCAATTGTCCTTTTGTTGCAGCTAGGGGGCGTAACAAAGGAAGTGAGCACACGGGAAGAGCGGGGCGTCCATTTCCTTGTGCAAGCTCCCTAGCTGTTAAAGAAGGAAGGGGAGCACCCCCCCCCAATGTCTGTGGTTGGCCCCTTCCCCATCACCCCAAGAAAGATAAGCCAGAAATCAGCCATGGGAGGAGAGGAAAACAGATTAGGGACTGTTTATCCCTCGGCCTTCCATGCTCCAGGTTGAGCTCTACCTGGAAGGTGACAGGTGGACACACCTGAAGACCTTAAGTGAGTTTAGCACTTTTATCTTCTGCAGTTGGACACTCAGCCTCCCATAAAGGCCTTGAGAAGCCACCGCTAGAGGTTCTTCCATCTTCCCGTGAAGGTCAGCTGCTGGGCTTCAAAGGGATCAGCCAGACTGTTGGAAAATGTCCAGGAGAAGGTTGAAGGGGAGTAGCTGAGCATCTGTGGAGTTCAGACTCGGGAACAGGGTATCCGGGGAGGGGTTTCTAGGGAAACAGGATGGGTTCAAACCCAAGGAAGCAGGGATAGTGTCCTTCTTGCCAACCCTCTTGATCTTGAGAGAGGATTGGAGGAAGTGTGGACTCAAGAACGTCGGGGCGTCATCAGTAGCAGATGTTCCCCTTTTGGTTCTGTAAAGGTTTAGGGAACCTGGAGTTTGTGGTCCCCTGTCTTAACTCACTGATTCCTGCCCCTGTCCTGATGAAGGCATCTAGAGGAGGTTTATCTCCTACTGCAGATAGGAGATAAGCCCCTTTCCTCTCTGCCTAGCCTCTGTCTAGGCAGAAGATGCTGGAGGATAGCAAGGGTGGGGCTGAGAGAAGGGGTAGACTTATGCCCTTTGCTTGAAATTTGAGGGGGGGGGCTTCACAGTGGGCCTGGAAGCAAGGGAGAATTTAGCCAGTTTGCTTGAGGTCCTTCTCCAGAGATTAATTGACATTTAGCAAGACCAAAGCGAAGTGAAATGGTCAACATTTGGCCCTAGTTGGTTTAACAAGTCAACTGGAGACACAGGCGGTGGCTGAATCTTCTCCAGAGTCTTTTATCTACCACATGGTAGAACGGCAACAATCGTGGTCATCCTTGACCGTTGGAATCTCCTGCAGAGGATGCTCCAGACCGTGCAAGCTTTAGCTTTGCTGATCACAAATGGGACAGAGCCATAGAAAGAGCATCAACTCAGGCCAGCCAGAGAAGGGGAAAAGGCGAAAGGATCTAGATATCCCTAAAAAAAGTTGTGTAAAGGCAGCCGCTGGAAATTGGGGGTTGCAGATGGTTCTCCTGCACCGTTAAATTCCATTCTTCGGTGTCGAGCGGATAAATCCCAGTTGATCGGAGAATCCTGCATTCTGTAGAATCAAAGTGATTCTCTGTTCCTGTCCCGAAGCAAATGGATGAAGAGAGCACATTTTGGCCACCCGGATGACAAATGTGGACATTCTGCCGGAGCAAAGTGGCTGCAGAAAGCTCCACATTTTCGTGTTCTTGCACTGGCTTTGGAGAAATGCAATTTAACGGCCTTTAACGGCAGGTGACCGTTGTGCATTGGGAAAAGGGTGGAGTGGGGCGAGGTTAAGAACCGCCTTTCTAGGAAATCTGACCCAACTGGTTTTGCTCACCTGTCCATCCAAAGGACACTGCCAGCCACCCGATCCTTCCAGTGTCGATACCCCTTCAGACGTCAAAGAGTTGGTGGAACTGAAATTTCCTGGCTGCAGGAAGGACTTGACCTGGAACTAATAACTCTTCTCTCCCCGCGGAGAGCTCAAGGCAGCCTCCTCGTATTTTAATAGCCATGCTTCTTCCCGGAGAACCTTGTTGAGGGTGGGGTGGGTAGGGGTGTTTAGCAATTAACACGGACGTCAAAGCTGATTTCTTTGCAAATACGCCATAACTCTCAGGAGAAGGGCTTTGAAGAGTAGGACATAGCATGGAAACCTCCAAAAGGACAGGGTATGGCTGAACCGAGGGCTAAAATGGCATTGCCAGGACTTGGGGAATGAAGCAGCAATGCCAAGCTTTTATCATACTTCCTACCCGTAGCATTGATTCCTCGCCCATATTCAGGGAGCGCGGTGGAAAGGAAGTTTTAACTTCCTCTCCCTGTTTTGTTCCTTCCACTCTTTCGCCCTCTTCGTGTCGACTCCCAAGTCGACTTCCATCCTGCCTGCTTTTCGTTGTCCCAGGTCAATGAAATGGCCCGGCTCTCTCTCCCTCATTGTTTGTTTTTGATTCCGTCCAAAAATTACGTCAGCCATTTCTGCTTTCTAAATCTTTTCTTTCTGTGTGTCTGTACGTGTGCGTCTTTTTGGGGTTCACTCTCGCTGAGCTGTGAATAATTTTTAATCATGTAAATATTGTCCACCTCTTAAGGAAAACATAGGATATTTTATCAAATTGTAAATCGAATCTGTAACCAGTCCCTGTATAATATGAATTATCCCATGAGTGGTTTTCAAGCTCAGGTTCCAAAGGACCAAATAATAATTAAAAAGTTGGTTTTTTTAAAAAAAATGGTTTGCCTTGCTCCACGCGTTTTTGGGGGATGCCGGCCTTGAAAGAGGGAAAACGGGGTGTTTACGTAATTTGTCTCCACTGTGGTGTGTTAATTACAATTTCCATCAGCTTTAATCAGCACAGCCAAGAATATTTCTCAACCTTGATGACTTTAGGCTACGTGGACTTGAACTGCCAGAATTCCCCAGGCAGACAGAATTCTGGGACTTGAAGTCCCCTCAATAATAATAATAATAATAACAACAACAACAACAACAACAGGAAGTTTCTCCTCAGTTCTAGGTTGCTTCTCTCCTTGATTATTATTATTATTGTTGTTGTTGTTAAAGTTGGAAGGGACCTTGGAGGTCATCGAGTCCAACCCCCTGCTCAGGCAGGAAACCCTACACCATTTCGGACAAATGGCTGTCCAGTCTCTTCTTAACAACTTCCAGTGTTGGAGCATTCACCGCTTCTGGAGGCAGGTTGTTCCACTGGTTAATTGTTCTCACTGTCAGGAAGTTTCTCCTTAGTTCCAGGTTGTTTCTCTCCTTGATGAGTTTCAATCCGTTGCTTCTTGTCCTGCCTTCAGGCGCTTTGGGGGAATAAATTTGCCAAGGTTGGAAAACATTGGGTTTTTTAGGCCAACACATTTGGAGGGTTACAAAGCTGAATTTGCTCAGTGTGCTAAATTTGGCTAAAACATGGGAAGTTTGTGATTAAGTATATATTTAAGAATTCAGCGGGTTCCGTCATGTTGTGTGAAACGAACGCCCCTTATTTGAACACCTGTTATGAAATGTGTCCAGCAGTCATTCTATCTAGACTTAACAAATTGGATAATTCAGTCAGTGTTTTCCATTCTCCCACCAATATTTTGTGCTATGTACAAAAGTGGCCAAAAGAGACCAAAGGAAGTGGATATAATCCTTCATAAGAGTTCTCAACTGTTATGTATTGCCTGCTCTACTCCAGAGTAAATGGAACTGGGCGAGGGAGACATGAAAAGAGCATATACTAACTAGGGTTTTAACATCACCAGAAGCATCTCACTATTCAGGGGGTGAGATACTTGAGTTGGCCACAGTTGTGCTCTTTTATAGGGAAAACAAATAAAAATGAGAGACAAGCGGATTGGGGGACGGATCTGATACATTAGACACGTAAAACCTGTACAGTATTTAGGTACAATATATATTTTGTAAACCAGAGTTAGCATAGTTGAGCTGCCAGGCCATAGGTAG